GATAAAGTCCATAGAAAGGAACATGTTAATATATCCTAAACCAGCCACTGCTTCATTAGTCTCACTCCCTGCTGTGTTCAGAAACCTAAGTTCTCAGAAGCAAGGCTATAGGCTCTGATACTTAAAAGATGCAGCCCTTACTTTTGTTTTATTATTTATTTATTAACTTATTTGTAGTTCCTGTTCTTTCCAAGGCCTCAAATAAATTGTTCTGGCCTTCTGAGACACGCAGAAGTAAACCTAGGGTGAATTAGAAAGAAAAGAATGGAAAAGAACAGAATTAGAAAGAAAAGTACCATTTTTAAAGTGTTTTAAACAGTTTTACCTTTTAAACTGTATTTTATTCTTTTAACAAGCAATCTGTTTTAATATTGTAATAATTTAATAATGTAACACTATTTTAATGTACCACTTTTCCATGTTTTGAATTGTACAGTTCTTTTAATATTGTGAGCCATTCTGAGTCCCACTTCTGGGATACAAATAAATATCACAACAGGAAGGTTCACAAACAATACCAAAGACAGAAGGGAGAAACTAGCAAAGTACTGAGATATGGTATGTTAACTAAATACTGTATATCCCAAACAAATGAAACCACCACTTAAACATGATACTGAATTATATTTTACAATGACACCATGTAGCTAACAGTGAAAACCCATACAAAATACTAAGTAAAATACTAAGTTCACACTACGTTTTAAACCAGTTTGCAAACTGGTTTAAATTGGGATCATTCACACTTGTGCCAGGTTTTCCTGACCCAAATTCAAGGGGGTGGTGCAAAGCCCCCTTAACCCGGGTTTTTTGGAAACTAGGATTTTAGCGGTTCTTTTCAAAAGAACGTGGGGGGGGGGGTTTCGGGAGCTGCCAAGGGGAACTAACTAAAGGATTACTTTATTGTATGGTGATGGTATTGAGTTTCAGCCAGATCCAGGGTTTCAGTACATGGGAGTTGTAGTATTCATTTGACGTGTTACGGTTATGTGCCTTTAAGAGAATTGACTGTATTGGAGTTTCACTTGCAAACCATTATTCAGAGTTTGTATAAAATTTCCTGCAGAAATAGTTTGTTCCAAAAGAGAGGTAAGCTTTTAATGTTAAGAAATGGTTATTTATTTATTTATTTATTTAAAATCTGGGGTATTTCATGTTGTTATTTTTACCATTTAGTATGTTGGGAAGGATTGTTGAAAACAGCATCCTGAACACTGAATTCTGGAATTTATTGTGAGCTGAGATATATAATCCATGACAACTGAAGAAGATTCATATATCAAAACGGCTGTATAAAAATTCCGGAGGTAGTCGTCTTGCTAACAGAAAGATTGTGCTACCAGAATGTTTTGCTTTACTACCAGAAGCACTGGCTACTAGAATTATTTTTCTTCGACAGTTTTCATTTATTTGCTACTTGCTTGTTACTCATCATTGATATAACAACCTTAGTGTGAAGACTAAAGAAAACATTATTTACCATCTGTGAAATTTATTCCACCAATCTCCATTTACAACTACCTGTTTTCTGCAGCAAAGACCAGAAGGACTTTGGATAACATTTGGATTTTAATTGAGAAACTCTGTTTTACTTAGTATTTTGTATGGGTATTTGATGGTTTTTACTGTTATCTACATGCTAACAGGAATCAATACCAGGAATCCAATAGAGAAATCAATACCAATCAGTACTACATCAACACCAGGAAAGATTCTAGAGCAAATGATTACACAGAGAATCTGTGAACATTTAGAAGGGAATGCCATAATCACAAAAAGTCAACACGGGTTCCAGAGAAACAAGTCATGTCAGACAAATCTGATCTCTTTTTTTGATAGACTTACCAGCTTGGTAGATGAAGGGAATGCTGCGGATATAGCATATCTTGATTTCAGTAAGGCTTTTGACAAGGTTTTCCATGATATTCTGGCAAACAAGCTAGTAAAATATGGGCTAGACAATGTAAATGTTACATGGATTTGTAATTGGTTGACCGGCCGAACCCAAAGGGTGCTCAGCAATGGCTCCTCTTCATTCTGGAGAGAAGTGACCAGTGCGGTGCCACAGGATTCTGTCCTGGGCCCATTGCTATTCAACATCTTTATCAATTACTTGGATGAAAGAATAGGGGGCGTACTTATCAAATTTACAGATGACACCAAATTAGGAGGATTAGCTAATACCCCAGAGGACAGGATGAAAATTCAAAATGACCTTAATAGATTAGAAAGCTGGGCCAAAGCTAATAAAATAAATGTCAACACAGAGAAATGTAAGGTAGTACATTTAGGATGGAAAAATGAAATGCATAGATATAGGATGGCGGACACCTGGCTTAATGCAACTATGTGTGAAAGGGATCTAGGAGTCCTAGTAGACCACAAGTTGAACATGAGTCAACAGTGAGATGCGGCAGCTAAAAAGGCCAATGCGATTCAGGGGTAGGCAAACTGTCCCCTTTAAGGTCTGAGGGACTTCAGCTCCCAGAATCCCAGACTATTGGCCAACATCCCAGACTATTGGCCAACATGGCTGAGGCTTCTGGGAGCTGAAGTCCCTCGGCCCTTAAAGGGGAAAGGTTGCCTACCCCTGGAAGGCAAGTAATAGTGCCACTGTATTCTGCTCTGGTCTGGCCCCACCTGGAATACTGTGTCCAGTTCTGGGCACCTCAATTCAAAAAAGATTTTGAAAAACTGGAGTGTGTCCAGAGGAGGATGATTAAAATGGTGAAGGATCTGGAAACCATGCCCTATGAGGAGAGACTTAGGTAACTGGATATGTTTAGCCTGGAGAACAGTCAGTTAAGAGGTGATATGATAGCCCTGTTTAAATATTTGAAAGGGTATCATATTGAGGAGGGAGCAAGCTTGTTTTCTGCTGCTCCAGAGAATGGGACCAGAACAAGGGATGCAAGCTACAGGAAAAGAGATTCCACTTCAACATTAGGAGGCAGTTCCTGACAGTAAGAGCTGTTTGATAGTGGAACGCACTTCCTTGGAGAGTGGTGGAGTCTCCTTCTTTGGAGGTTTTTAAACAGAGGCTGGATGGCCATCTTTTGGGTATGCTTTGACTGAGAGTTCCTGCATGGCAGGGAGTTGGACTGGATGGCCCTTGAGGTCTCTTCCAACTCTATAATTCTGTGCTGTCATTGTAAAATATAATTCAGTATCATGTTTAAGTGGTGGCTTCAAGTGTTTGGGATATATAGTATTTAGTTAACATACCATATCTCAGTACTTTGTTAGTTTCTCCCTTCTATCTTTGGTACAAATAAATATCTTTTTCTTTTTCCTTTTTCTTCTTTCTTTTTATTATCCCTAGTCCAGACATTCTAACTAACCTGTCCTGGAACAGCAGTAGCAGCAGCAGCAGCAGCGTATGAAAGGGCCGTAACTCTGAAGCAGATTAAATTGCAAACATTGCACCCTGTTATACACTGACTGCAGGTTCCCAGCACATGGCAGCAGTGCTGCACACAGAGTATGAAAAGGCTCACATGAGATATCCCAATATAAAAAACAAAACAAAACAAAACTGGGAAGTGGATTCAGAAAGATGCCCAAACATGAATGATTTATTGGATGACATACTGTTCCCACCATGCTTCAATGCCACCTTCTTCGGATCTTCTGCATGCTCTGAATGAACTATGACAATAAGCGGAACATGGTTTCTGTTTCCCCTGGAGACAACAACACTATGCCAAAATGCTTGTGGCATAACATCCTATAAGAATTCTTTCCCAGTCTGAGCATTGTTTCATCACTTTGCATCATTTTTATTGGAAGTTTCTAGTCTTAATGATGTTGCCTCTCCCTTTTTCTGTTCCATTTCATTGCATATTATTATGAAGCATGTGGGTACAAACATTTGATGCATGAAACTGGAGTGTCATACTTCAAATGTTTGCACCCACAGGCTTCATAATGGTGTACAATGAAATGGCACAGAAAAAGGGAGCCACAGCACCATTAAGACCGGAAACTCCCTCCCCAATAAAAATGATGAAAAGTGTACTCTTCTTTGTAAAGTCTAAAACAACTTTAGCCATGCCACCAGAAAGCTGCCAAAGGTACGTTGAATTGGAGGCATGGTTAGTGTCAAGGTTGTCACATTATTCTGGCACCAAGTAGAAATGTGCTGTTCCCTAGAGCCTTTGGGGACCAATTCATGTTACTTTCACACATGGTTTGAAATCATTTTAAGCTATTTTAATCAGTATTCATCTACTTTTTAAAACTCGTTACTCTGTTGAATATGTTTTTCACCTTTAAAATTATTTCATTTTTACACTGTTTCAATTAATCGGGTTGGATTTATTGCACGCTGCCCTGACATCTTTGGCTACAGAGTAGGATATAAATGTTTAAGTTAATTAAATTAATTATTGGCTAATACTGGCATGCTAACTGTTAGTATGATATACAGCTTAAAATCTACATTGATGGGTTGCAATCGCATCATTCTCATGCTGTTTTGACAGTGACTCTTCCTATTATCTCATCATGCTCTGTGTCTGATCCTACCTGATCCTACTCATTTGCAATTCATTCTAGATCCCCCAGAGCTTGTGGAAATGACCTTTGGGACTACAGCTCCCAGAATCCCCAACCAGGATAGCCAGCTCCTATGTCAGTGGTGGCGAACCTATGGCATGCATGCCAGAGGGGGCACTCAGCCTTTTCTGTGGGCATG